ATTCTGGTTTGGAAAAAACCCAAGCAGATCGCGCGATGCCAGAGCTATGTGAAGGGACGGGATCTTAATCGCACGACCATGTTGCTCTCGTAAAATCAGTTGCAATCGCCGCGCGCGGCGAGGCGAGACATGGCAGCCGTGACCTCTCGTGGAGTCCTAACCTACACCCCACCATTGTACATATATTTACGAGACCAAGCCACAGGGAAGGGAAACATGTGTGTAAAGAACATAGAATCGGCCAGGAAATCCGGTAATTTCAAGCTTCTTGGAGGATCATTGAGGAAACAGACAGCAGTATCAAGATTATAAGTTCAGGTTGTCAGGCTGCGTACAGTACCCCCGAAAATTGCGACCCGCCCGACCCTGGCAGGCACTGGCCCCGCGGCCAGGCTACAGTACTCCACGCCAAAATTAAATGGTCCACGCAGTCCCGGGTCCCGTTGTGTGCATTCACGGCCAATACAATTAATCTCACGCGCAATTTTCGGGGGTACTGTACGCAGCCTGACAACCTGAACTTACGATTATGGCAACCAGGACACATTGCACGGAGATCCCCAGCGAGCGAGGTCGTGGTTGATCGCTAGAAGGAAGGGTCCCTTGGTTGTAAGAAAAATGTTCCGGTCGCTGGCTTCCTTGGGCTTTTCAAGTTGGGAAAATTCGTTTACAGTTCTGCTCCGCTTCCTTGAGAGACTACACAAGAATGAGGAGCTTACCGGTTACAGTGAAAAAAGGGGTCGTCGTCGACGACACCCTCTTCAGCAGCTGTAGAGAACAGCTAGGCGGTGTACGCAACTTAGACGCGCGGACACACCCCATCACCCCCAGCGAACCAGACTATGTTCTCATGGTTCTTTCCCATCCGATACGTAAATTCAGCTTTCCACCAAGTCCACGGCCCATCCTGGTCACTGCACTTTAAACCCACATCTTGCTGGGAACCTGAACGGGGTCAGGCTTTTGACGGCGGGCTAGGGTCCGACAGGTGCTGACGCATATCGAGTGTCGACCAGGCTCGCTCTCATCGACTTAGTCTCTTCTCCCGGTTTGTCCGTTTCTTTTTCGATGTATAATCCTCTTCCGTTCCCACCAGCCGGTCCTAAATTAGTGCAGCAATTCATTTTTGCTCAAAAATTACTGCAGTTTTCTTCACAGATAAGAAATGTCGACTAATTGGTCATAATATCCAAAGTCTGCTTAACAGTTGGCGTCGTTTTTAAAGCTAACAGTCGCGCAGGAGTGTAGCACTTGAACTGTTGTACTAATACTATTACATATCTTTTTTGTTCTAGGGTTTGGAAAGAGTCGTGAAAGCGTCGGGTAGATAGTTTCACCATGACAGACTCAAAATACTTCACCACAACCAAGAAAGGTGAGTTGGCATTCTTCTCGCACTCGAAATGCCCTTCATAATCATTTTCATTAGGGAAATTTGAATACGCGGAGGCAAGACCTTTTTAATAACTTGAAACCCTTTTGAAGAAACGAAGGCGAGAGGATAAATTTGAATTCTTAATTTGTGTAATTGAACGCTCATAACTTGGTGATGATTCGTATGATTTGTCAGATTAAAACAAAACATTTAAAGAGTAGTGGTTTTCCACCTGATTTGTTGTTACAACTGTTTTGTTGACTTAATTGGCAATGTGAATTGGGTCTTTCCTTTGACACAGCGGTTCCGGCCTTTGTAGGCGGCAGTGAAAGGTGTCTCGTGCATATACAAGCTGTGGCTTTTGTTCCACTTGGTCTTAGTTTATTCCTGGCCGCACCTGTAAGTTATATTTTGTTCAGGTGAAATATTTGAGCTGAAAACCGAGTTGAATTCCGACAAGAAAGAGAAGAAGCGAGAGGCTGTTAAAAAGGTCATCGCAAGTATGACCGTGGGGAAGGATGTGAGGTCAGAACGGTTTTCACTTAACGCTCTCTCCGTCGTGCTTTCTGGCTGCATGTTGACCTTTTATTTCAGTGCACTGTTTCCCGATGTGGTCAACTGCATGCAAACAGATAATGTTGAACTGAAGAAGCTGGTGTACCTTTACCTAATGAATTATGCAAAAAGTCAACCAGACCTAGCCATAATGGCTGTCAACACCTTTGTAAAGGTAGCGAGACTATTATGTGACTCCGGAAGAGATCGACTGACCTCCCTCTCTTTGCAGGATTGTGAAGATCCAAATCCACTCATTCGAGCTCTAGCAGTACGCACCATGGGATGTATCCGAGTTGAGAAGATAACTGAGTACTTATGTGAACCACTACGGAAATGCATGAAGGTTCGTTTATAAGATCTTCTACTGCACTGAGCCCGCTGATTTTTTGCTTCTTAAATTTATACTGCTAATACATTTTTTGTAATTCGTGTGAGTGCATCGCGTTTCATTGCTCATTGACGCACTTTTGAGTGCAGAATTGTAGGTCTAATCCCAGTAAAGATTTCTAAGGTTTTTCTTGGCCTGGTTACGAAAACATGTATTAGTAGCTACGTAGTTAAGTTGCAGTTCACCGAATGGAGTCATGAATATTGTGGAAAACTGCTTCTGAGGGGAGTTTCATTTGATGATTTCTAGAAGGTGAGGTTAAATGTCCGCAAACAAAAAAATGTTTTGAAAAAGGTATTGGAAATATTGCGGTCCACGATGTATAGCTTGCTTTAGTGTGCGCTCATACTTCGCGCCAGGGTTTTAGCGTTTTGAGCATTTGAGCGAGTGATCATTTCATTTGATCTGAATGGCTGGGAAAGAGTAGGTATCGATCCAGCGTTTTGAGCGCGCTTAGCGACAGAGAACGTAAAGATATCGACCACTGCTGGAAACGCTGGTGGATGCACAAAACGCTGTCGTTAAGTATGAACGCACTCTTAACTTTCCCCTTCCTTCATTGCTCGGCGGGAGAAGGCATGGATTGCAGATGATTGCGGAGGTAAAAATACATAGAGAACCATGAGCTCACAACAGGAATGATGAACTATTATCTTTCAGTCCATCCCGTCTTAGCATAAATTCTTTTTCATTACCATTTTCAAGTGTTTTTGTTCTTATTTCTTTTCTTGTAACTGCTAATGAGTACTTTTTGCAGGATGAGGATCCTTACGTACGAAAGACGGCCGCCGTTTGTGTCGCTAAACTTCACGATATGAACCCTAAGCTTGTGGAAGAGCAAGGTTTGTTGTTTGAGATATTTGATCGCCTTTCAAGGCCATCCAGTTTTCTCATAGTATTCTCATAGTATGGCATGTTTCATCTTATTTCAGGATTTGTTGAATTATTGAATGATCTACTCTCTGATGCAAATCCTATGGTGGTTGCTAATGCTGTTGCTGCTTTGACTGAAATAAATGAGCAGCGACCACTCATTGAGGTAACTAATTTCCGATATCTATTCGTACTAGCTACGCACTGTTTGTGATCCATAGAGTAAGGTAGTGCATACTTCGCGATCCAGTTGCTTGGAGCAAAGTTAAAACCCTCAGCGATCCGGTCACCGATCTAGTCGATCGGATCGCAAAGTATGAACGCGCTTTGAGGCTTAATGTAATGGTACTTATTAAGTGTAGCTATATTATTGCGTATAACGCCATTGTTTAGGTTAATAGTCAGATGGTGAACAAATTGTTGACTGCTCTGAACGAATGTACAGAATGGGGCCAGGTAAGTCCACTTTACTGCCATTTTTTTAGAATTCGTAAGTCCATCTGTAAAACGCGTAATTAACTTGGACGACTTCAGGTATTTATTCTGGATGCGTTAGCTGGATATAGACCACGAGATGAACGAGAAGCACAGAATATTTGTGAACGAATATCCCCTCGTCTCGCCCATGCTAATGCAGCAGTGGTTCTCTCCACTGTCAAGGTGTGTTTTTTCGTGATAGGTTTTTTGCTACAGTAGGAAAATAATATTTGAAACCTGCCGGGGAACAAAAGGGTTTAGCAGGCAATTTTCTGAAACATTCCATCCCTTCTTATTAGTTTTCTCTCTAATGTGACCTTTCTCAAGCATACTTTTCCTGTTTCGCTCTGATTCCTGTTTCTCATTTGTTCTTCATTTAGGTTTTTTTGTAGTAGTAAATGTTAAGGCGTTTTTGGACTTCCTTTCTTTTTGGGTTTCCTCTCGAAACCCATTTCTCTCGATTTTCAAATAAGTCTAACGGGCGCTTATCTTCAGGTTTTGATGAAGTTGGTTGACATGCTGCCGCCAGATTCTGATTTCATTAATCAGTTGACAAAGAAACTAGCGCCACCAATGGTCAGACATGTTTTATTGCAGTGTACAAATTTTCTCTTTTAGATGAATTGACACTTTCACTTTCGTTCTATTTTGTTGAGAAATCGTCTTATTTGTGCTCATCCAGGTCACATTACTGTCTGCGGAACCGGAGATTCAATATGTCGCCTTGCGCAACATAAACCTCATCGTTCAGAAAAAGCCGGATATTTTGAAGCAGGAAATGAAGGTGAGAATGAAGGAACTCATGTCTTTATTTTGAGATTTTCTGAGTAGAACTGCCCATGACCTTTTTTGTCGGTCAAAAGTTCTTGTAATGTACGTAAGTTCTTGTAATTCAGGTTTTCTTCGTCAAGTACAATGATCCTATTTATGTGAAAATGGAAAAACTGGATATTATGATCCGACTCGCCCAACAGAACAATATTGCGCAAGTGCTAAGTGAACTCAAGGAGTAAGATTTACCTGTTTGATCTTATAAACATGCATTGATGAAAAAGAAATAACAGTAGTTGCGTCCTGTTCTCTTCACGTTCGAACTTACACTTGTTTTATTCAGATACGCTACCGAGGTTGATGTGGACTTTGTTCGCAAGTCGGTAAGAGCCATCGGAAGATGCGCCATAAAAGTGAGTTTTGAAAAATTTTAAAGTTGTAATGCCGCTTGCGGATGATTCTTGTACTTATCCGTTGAGATTACGTGTGAACACATAAGTCAGCACCTCATATAAGTCTAGCACTTTATGTCAACCTTCTGACCTTTTTCTTAGTGAAAAAAATTCCCGAAAGCTGCCATTTTCGGCTGATGCCGGCCGACGTTTCATTCTCGAGACCATACAAGGAAAGCGTATGTAAGGTCATCTGTTCTCAATGAATGGCCTAATATCTAGCCTCAATACACGTAAAAGCCGATAACTTCGGTCGATATCTAAGAAGAGCAGGCATTCTGAAGATCTTTAGAGACTGTTTGGTCCCCATGTCATGGTATGGGCCCTATTAGAATAAAAAGCGAGGTCTCTTGGCATGTTTTGGTGAAGACCTACACTAGAGCAGGTTCCATGAGCAACTTTGAAGATATCCTCTCCACTGGCCTCCGCGCCCTTGCCGTATGCGAGTCGAATGGGTCTGGAGATGCAGTAGCATGCCACTTGTTCTGCACAAAAAAGCACGGGGCTGAAAAGTAGCGATACGCGAGTGCCGTATTCACACTCAGCCCCGTTTCCCTCAACGCCAGCCTCGATCGCACCAACATCGCGCAGCGCGAAAGACGCGCTCAGCAGTAGAAAATAACCAGAAGCGCGAGGGATCAGGCTAGTAGCGCGTCTGGTTATGGTTAGGCTTGTGGCTGGCCGTGGGACAGCGTGAGGCCTAACCATAACCAGACGTGCTAGAGGGAGTATTCAGCACCGGGCATCACAACCCTCCAGCCCTGACTCCCGTGCATTTTTGAGAGGAGAAAGTGGCATGTTATTGCAGACCCATTAACCCAAAACACAAGGACCAGGGTTCACAGATGTGAGTGAAAAGTTTGCCTAGAATAGGTGGGCCGTGTCTAGGCCAAGCTTTTCAACTTCAGGTAGCGTCACGCAATTTTGCCAGTGCGAACAAATAGCTTTATACACAGTGCTGATTATGTTAGCTGTGCGTTAAGGTGGAAGCAAGTAGCGAGCGGTGCGTTGCCACTCTACTAGAACTGATTCAAACCAAGGTGAATTATGTGGTACAAGAAGCTGTTGTCGTCATAAAGGTGCGCCCTGAATAACATTTTAGAGCTATTATTTCCTTTTGCGCGTCAGTGTAATTCATTAATTTAGGATATCTTCCGTAAATATCCAAATCGCTATGAAAGCATCATTTCCACTTTGTGTGAGGTAAGTTGTTTGAATATGAGTATAAGAAGGCAGTGTTCTAGTTTGGAAAGGCTTTAGTAGACATTTCATATAAATTATTCAATCAATTCAAGGTTAGTAGCCCCATAAAACTGTCTTGAATTCGGGAAAAGATATAGAAGAACTCTACCGATTAGGTTGTTTTAACTCTGCTGAACGAATGAGCTTGTTTGGTGGAATTGCTTAGCGGCCCGACGTTTGGCCATATAAACGACTTCACCTAACAACCCCCTTTGGCAGCAGGAAAGCATTCGACAGCACGCGGAGTCTACTAATTAAATAGCAGTCTTGTATCTTCATTTACAGAACTTGGACACCCTGGATGAGCCCGAAGCACGCGCATCAATGATATGGATCATAGGCGAATACGCCGAAAGAATCGATAATGCAGACGAATTGTTGGAGAGTTTCGTTGAAGGATTCCATGATGAAAACACCCAGGTTCGTATATTGTGGTAGTGAATTGACTTTGCGTCAAGTGCCATTTTGAGCCGTGCATACATGAAACGTTTATTTCAATCAGTATGTTTTCTTGTGCCTGTCGAGGTTTTTAGGTGGAACAGTTTATTTTAGCGGCCTGACGTTTCGACGTAATCGTCTTTTTCAAAGGCCTAAAAGTGTTTCGAGTTTTAGAGATGTGTACTACCCTGCCAAGCGCCTAATCCACCCCAGCATTTCCGATGACGTGGTCCTAACCCAACCATCTGAAATCTAAAATTAATTTAATCATCTCTAAAACTCGAAACACTTTTAGGCCTTGAAAAAGACGATTACGTCGAAACGTCAGGCCGCTAAAATAAACTGTTCCACCTAAAAACCTCGAGAGGCACAAGAAAACATACTGAATAAGAACAACTAACATGCCGAGGTTACAAAATGAGAGAAGCTGGAGAATATGAATTCCAATCTTTTATCTAGTTTTTTTGGCCCTACTGAACCACTACAACCTCAGAAACTCAAAAAAATTGCTGGAGCTTTTCTCATGGAGATTGCTCAATGCTGTAATCACGAATACGGCAACGGTTATTAGCACCGTCGCCAAATGGCGTCAATTTCTCTCGGTCTAGTGGTATTTGAATGCGGTACTCTCTCTTAGCCCCGGTACTGGTGTAGGGTATTCCGGTCGTCTGCGCTTTTCCAAACCTGGGGGAGAGAACCCTCTCTATCTCTAAAAAGGGCGCTAAATGGCGTTGGCGCAACAAATGCGTGTGATACTCGTGATCAGGACATCAAATAAACCTGCAAGTGGGCAACATTGTATCGATATTGATGAGAAAGATGGTGGCGCCAATGGTATACCCAATATAACGGCTGTTTCATTAGTGTTGAG